ATTTTAGAGGGGCCATGGGGGAGTCCCTACTTACATTTTGTGGTATGCCCCTTAACTCCCAAAAGTAAAGGGGTACCATGGTTTGGAGTTGTCATTAAGGGCCCCCATAACTCTCCACCACCACAATTCAATCATTCATTCAATCTCTACTCACCCTCCCATTGGAGGCTACTTCTCCTTGCCTCACTTGAAAATGTTTAGCATGGCTTCCCACATGGATCCTCCTAAACCTATAATGATTCCTTATGGCAGTACTAGATTTCATGGGAGTATTCATTACTGATGTGAAAAAGCTACATGTGACCAGAAAAAGCCATGTGGCTACATGTTTCAGTCATGATGTAGGCTTTACATGGCAGAGAGTTCCAACATGGAAGTATCCTCCTTGGGCCAGAAAGTAAACCATGGAATGACTCTTCATGTTACAAGAGACTTGGGGAAAGTGAGAAGGAAATAAATGAGCTAGTGAAAACAGCAATTTTTACTTGAAGGTTCCAAATTCATTATAGAGAGCCAAATGATAAAACTGTAACAGGTCTGGAATATCTTCAAAGTGCACACTGAGCATGCATATGGAACTATGGTGAACTGCAATCTTGCTATGGCTGTGAAGAGAGAAAGCAGTCAAATGCCACTTATACAGCTGAAAACACATCACCTAAATTCTTTCTGAATTGTGCTACTAAGCACCATTCAGGAAACCAACCATTCATTTGGTCACAATAGAGTAGAATATTCCATACATACACTGCCTTAGGGGAACAAGCCTTGTTCCAGTCCTATATTCTTTTAATCCAGATTTTAGTTGCCACACTCCAGATTTCCATCTTTCCATTGGCAACCATAAGGAGGCTCCTGGCAATACGAGGTGGCCCAAAATGTGCTAGCTAAGCCTATGACTTTTTTTACCCAATATGCAAATCTGATTCAAAATTGGTATTATGTCTCAAAGAAAATTAACTTTTGATCCCACCCAAGTTATCAGTTTGACCAAACTGCGGGAGGCAGTGGAAGACAGGAGTGCTTGGCGTGCTCTGGTCCATGGGGTCACGAAGAGTCGGACACGACTAAACGACTAAACACAACAACAACAAGTTATCAGTTTATTTTATATTTATTTGCTTTCCTGTTTTGTTGACAGTATTCCTCTAACCAAAGAAACAATCAAAGTGCAATGGCTCTTCCCCCTCCCCCATTGCTATTTAGCAATTTTAGTTATTAAAACACATACACAATTACTTAGTTTCTATTGCTTTCTTTTCTTTTTCTCTTCTTATTAGGAGTAGTAGTATTAAACAGGATGTCACTATTTTCATTGGCTAAATGATGGAGGGTATGTGTTTGGAGCCAAATGGCTACATTTATCTCCACTGAACTCAGATCCTGGTTTATATGCAGAATGCCACTACAATTATGCTGAATACTTGACTTTAAGTCACTTGAGTCAGTGTGCTGTGTTGTATGTAACAAAAGTAAACTTGTCTTTATTTGCATGGCACACAGACTCGTTCGGTGGCTGAATACTCCTCAACAGAAAACACGTAATTGATTTTTAGGAAGATGAAAAGTCTCCTGTTGCTTAACCTCTTCACTTATCCTGCAGCTGCTGAACTCAAAACAGGATGCATGAAGTTGTGCAAGCGAGCACTAAGGGTCCAGTCCAGATGTTTGCAACTTTGGGGAATATTATAATTGAATGTCTAGGTACTAGCATGGACTAATTTGTATACCTAAAGCAGTCTGGTTGGATTTTTGTTCAAATGGGTTGTTTCTCTAGTGTTCATTTTCAGTGAACAACGAAACCTGATGTCAGAGGTTCTGACATCAGGTTTCTTTGTGCACGGAAAATGAGCATTGGAAACCTATTCATTTTTGTGTTTGTTTTGAAATAAGCCAAACCTCTTTGTGAATTCAGAGCATTGGATATCCCCAGTTCTTTGTGAAATCCAGCTTCAGAGCTGTGTGATTCTTTCCTGGCATTCTCTTTAATTGTTCTGTTTTTGTTTTAATTCAAAGGACCCCGGATAGGGTATAAGGCTGAGGCAGCAGAACACAGTAGTAATGTTCTCTAGCACTTTATACTGCTGGCAATGGTCACATTAATGAATGTGTCTGCAGCTAAAGAACTCCCTGCAAACAGAAAACAAACACAAAATGGAGCAGATTGGGCTAGAAACTTTCTCCCTGATGTGTTAGCTTTTTACTTGCAGGAATGTATTTGTGTAGGGGAGCATTCAGAAATGGTATTTCCCCACCTACAGCCTCTTCCATCATCTCAGAATCCTACCATCTCTTTTTGCTGCATGGGAAGAGACAGGCTTATCTCTTAATGTGGAAGAGTCTGAGACAGGTACTGAGCAAGAAAAGCAAACAGCACCTTCTGCATTGTGGATTTTTGAAGGGGTATTTACTGAAATCACTCCCAGGAGCCCTAAGAAGCATTGGGGGACACACTGGCACCCATGGGCACACACAGGTGACCCATGCTTTAAGACAACTGTCTAGAAATACAGTTTCTAAGTGGCAGCACATTTGCAGCAGCAAAAACAGTGGAAGCAAGGACTATGGTGGGATGGAGGTGCTTACTTGACCTCCCAGCAGGTGAGTCACTGCGGCTTACCAGAAAGAACAGGGGTGAGGCAGCAGTGAGGTCAGCAGACCCAGCCTGGTGTTCCTGCCAGTGAGTCCACCATCTTGTCCCTTCCACTCTTGGTCAATAACAGCAACCCACCTGCTAGGAGGTCAGGTAAGCACCTCAGACTCTCTAAGCCATCCGCTACCAAAAAGCAGTCACCCTTCCTGGTGTGATTATAACCTCTATTTGTTTGCTACTTATTTGACAGGCATATAGATAATGAGCAATGTTTTCTGGACAAAAGATTGATTGCTCAAGAGGCAAAAGGGGCCCTAGAGAGTTGCAAGGCTGTTTTAGCTGATGTGAGGTTCTGTACAGGCAGGGAGGTTTAAGAGGTAGCAGGATGCCGAATCTAAGAGACTTGTCACAAAGTGGAGGCTGCCCAGAGGATGCACATGCAAAAAGATGCAAGATACTTCCCAAGAAAGAAAGTCTTCAGCAACCTGCTGCTTGCAATGCAGAACTGAAACTTAAACACAGAGCTTGAGAACTGACTCAGGCACTTCCAAGCTAAGGAGGCCAAAAACATCAAAAGCTCACCAAAAGGTATTTTATAGTCTTGGTAACGCAAGGAAGGGACAGCTGGCATGTCCGTGTGGGTAAAAGGAATTTCACTGTTTTGCAAAGCATGCCTGCACAAGCACTACGTGAGGACTCTCTGCAGAGCAGACAAAGAAACTTAACACCCAACAAGATGCCTACTGGCCCCAAAGTAGGGCAAATGCTTGTGTGTGGTGCCGTAGCAATAGATGCACACCCAAACTCAGATGCTATGATCCTTTGATGCCACATCAAGATTTCCCCCCAGAAAGTGAATCATCAGGCACTGACTGGTAAGATACTTGTGGCACAGAACAGTTCATCTCACCTCCGATGTGCTTCTAAAGGCCCCAAATCTGCAGCAGCAAGATGCTGGAACTCCTCACACAGCCGCGAGGGCTTGGCCTTTGCTTTCCCCTCACAACAGGAGACAACAGCTCCAAACGGTTCACACAGTTTGTTCAATCTAAAGAGCAAATCAGAGGCACATCCAACTGTTAACACATATTCTCCTTGCGTCTGTTCCAATCCATTTGCCCATTGCCATCAGACACAAGCTCCTGGAAAACAAGCGCTGAGCCTTTTCTGCCACTAAACCTGTTATTATCCCTTTGGAGCCTGTGTCAGTGGCCCCATCTTCCTGTAACATGACTTCCTATGTTCAGGACTGCCATATGATCACAGTATCTTTGAAACATTTTAAAATCTTATTCTCAATATAGTTGGATTCTTATCGTAATTTTTAATAGCTGTGTGTGAATGTAGAATCTCCTTGGGCACCTAAGTGGCAGAAATGTTATTCAAAGAGATTTAGTTAATGAATTAGCACACACACAAACACACACACCCCTAGAAACAGAATCGCTTTGGAACTAAATAGCAGAGGAGTTTATCTGAAGCATTATTTGTTGGCAAGCCTTCTGCATTGTATCCCCCAGCATTGCTTCCGAAATGATTCTGTTTATGCTTCTCCAAAGGAGATAACCAGGAATCACTTTTCAGAGCCGCTTAATGGTATTTATCACATTATGTACATTCATAGTTTCATCAAGGAGCTGTAAGGCTGCCAGAAGCAGAAGATGGGCATACCTTAAATGCCATCCTGTCATCACATCAGTGCAAAGAAATGCTGTCATTACTTGCATTCTGTCACCTTTGATTGCTGAACCTGGATTTGATTTATATTATTGTGGGCACTTTCGCTCCGCTTTAACAATATATTTCCAAGCATCACTCAGACCATTCCAACAACCTGTCATTTGAGATTAGTGTACTCATCTCTATGAAGACATGCAGACACCTCGGGCTAGATTATACTCTCAATCACCCCATCTGCAGTCTGGTTTCAAATTTTTAATAATGAGGCTGTTTGTTTGTTTGTTTGTTTGTTTTCAATGAGTTGCTGTTACTACTACTACTATTATTATTATTATTATTATTATTATTATTATTGCATTTGTATACTGCCCCAAAACACAAGGTTCACTGGGCAGAATAAATACTGTTTTAGTAAAGGGGGAAAGTGGAGAGGAGCTAGGAAAGCAGAACATTTGCACACTTAATATTTAGTAATATTAATTAATTAATTAATTAATTAAAAACCCAACAACCTCTTGCAAAGCTGGTTATAACACTGGTTCACAGGGGACAGTGATGATCATTCCTTCTCCAAGCCAGGTGGTCTTTGAAAAGGCATTTGAACTGATGCTGACAAACTGAAGAAGGGTGATTTAATGAGCCTCCTTGTGTGATTTAGCTAAGCCATGCAGGACAGAGCCTTCCAGCTTTGTTCCACTTTGTCATTTATGTAAACACCTAATCTATCCACTGGGATATCTCACTTGGTAGAGCATGAAACTCTTAATCTCGGAGTTTTGGGTTCGAGTCCCACATTGGGTGAAAGTTTCCTGCATTGCAGGGCGTTGGACTAGATGACCCTCAGGATCCCATCTAATACTACAATTCTATGATCCTGGGTGGCCAGGTGAAAAAGAGAGCAAGGCTCTTGCACATTTAGTAACTATTAATAGAAAATGCCTATTAGAGAAGCCAATAAGTAAGGTGACCAACCTTTAACAGTATGTTCAAGTTGTTTATTTTCTTTAATCAACCTTTGCCAAATGAACTTGTCAATTCTGGAGAGGAATATAAGCAGTTATTTGTAAGTATATCTGAAATTCAAATGTTCTCTGTGCTGCTAAATCATCATGACTGCCCTCATCAGTGCTTGTATTAAAGGGCACCATCTGTTATTCATGTGCTGATATAAAATTATTCTGTATCTGTAAAAACTCAAAGTAACTAACATATGCTACAAAGAACACATTCTAGGCGGCAGAAGAGTGTGTTTCTGGTCTGGTTTTCTTTGCTAACCATAAATTTACAGGACGCTATCCTGCTAAGTCAAACTCAGAGGAGATCTGTTGAAATCAATAGTATTGAGTTAAGTAACTCCACTGATTTCAATGGGGCTGCTGTGAGTCTGATTGCTGGATATCCCCCATAAGCTTTAACAGAAGAAAAATTGATAATGTAAACTAGAGATAGACATCAAAAAGCTCAGGGGGCGCATCTACCCCTCTCAAAAAGGCTTACATCTGGCCTTCAGTATCGCCCCTGAACACGTGGACACACACACATTACCATGCCACTCCTCATTCATAAGCCAATACAATTGCAAAAAGCGCTTTGATCTCCTCTCCTCCAGTGTAAATCACAAGAGATGTTTTGGCTTCTACTCAGTACTGGTCTAAGACATTTTGCTGCCCAAGGAGAAGATTAGAGAGATGAGATTGGGACTTGGAGGGCCATGCATAAGAGACCATCTCCATGAAGCTGTCTGGATTTCTGGCCATCTTGGTATGTTGTTGCCACTCAGAATGTATCAAAGCTCTTCTTTCCAACTTCCCTCTTTCTTTTGGTGTGTGTATGTGTATTAAATTCTGAGCTTGAGGGCAAGGGAGTGTTTACCTTACTATTTTATATAGCACAGACTAGAGGCAGTGTAGAAACAGATGCTGACGCTGCCATTTCATTGGCTCATAGCACCCACACTTGAATGCATGAAGCCTCTAGTTGCATTCTCATAGGCCACTGTTCAGAGCATGAATGCCAGATAATGAGAATGCCTGCTTTGTATTTGTGGCCATCATTATTTTGCATCTCACTCTGGAGCTGATAGGATTAATCCTACCCTTTTAGACAACAGCCCATCTTTCTTAATCTTAGGGATGTAATACCTCGTGTTCTCTATTATCTCCATAATAGACCTCTACATTATAACTATAGATCTGGTTCCTGGCAACTGGGGAGGGGTTGGAGCAGAGAACTCATACAGAACAGGTATATGTACGTACATACAGAGAGATGCATGCTTGCAGTGGCACCTGTAAGCCTTTTCCCAATAGAGCAAAACCTCTTATAAACACAAAGACAAATTCCCCTTTCACTGAGCAATGTTAAAACAATTTCTTCTGTCCTTGCTGGCTAATTAGTTGAAAAACAGACCCACACACCCACACACCATATCACTGCACAAAGAAAAACAGACTTCTGAAAATTCCATCCAGCTTCTAAAGTTGCAAAAGCTGAAGAAAATGAAACTGGGTGGGCGGGGACTGATGGCTACCTTGAAAGAATAGATGCCTTCTCTTCTACTTTCCTGTGTGGGTGCCATGCCACCACTAGGTACAATAGAAGACACACATATCATATCTACCAAACAAGAGCTGTTATTTCACTAAGAAGGGTTGCCGTAGTGATGCTTCACTCACAATAATGATGAGGTAAGATACTGTGAACTCAGGAGCTTCTATTTTCATTGTTTCCTGCAAATCAAAATAATCTATTTATTATTATTAAAAGTTGTTTCCATCAAGAAAAAAGAATGGTTAAGAACTTTTTAAATGCATGCGTAATGCATTTGGAAGGGAGAAATGAATGATGTAAAAGCTTTGTCTCCCATGAATAGGTTGAGCAGGTGGGTTATCTTCTAGTTATGCCACTTCCTTGTTTGCTCAGTTCTGCCTATTCTGACTCGCAGTGGTTTGCTCTGCTACCTTCTATCACCTTTAAACCACAGAATGATGATTCCTTCTGCACCCACATAACTTGATCTATGGTCTCATACCCCAAACTATAAGCCACAGGTTTTCAGTGAAACTTTAATATAAGTGGACAGAAATTATTGAAATGAAAGTTCCCATTCTCTTCTTTCTACAGCCACTTGTGCCCCACTAAGTGTCTCAGGAAGATCAAAGGAACATCTAAACAATGTGGGATATGGTGTAAGGAGATGCTTGAGGAGGAGATTCATAGAATCACAGGGTTGGAAGGAATCCGAAAGATAATCTGGTTCAACCCCCTGCAATGCAGGAATCACAGATAAAGAATCCTTGACAGATGGCCATCCAACCTCTATATAAAAACATCCAATGAAGTAAAGTCTGCCACCTTCTGATGTAGTCTGTTCTACTATTGAATAGCTCCTACCATCAGAAAGTTCTAGCCATTGGTCAGAGCATTACATATGAAACATAGCGAGAGGTATTATCACTAAACGGAAAGATCTCTCACCTCCAACTGTTGTTGTTTTTTTTAGGGAGAGGAGGTTTTTCTCTTCAAAGTTAAGTTAGTGATCAATAGATTTCTTTTTTAAAAAAAAATGGTTTGTAGAGGGGGAATAAAACTGCTTCATGGGTTGCATCCAATCTGCAACCACCTGCCTATCCCAGATTTAAATGAAGTAGTAAATAATTTTTGAGTCTTGACTCAAGAAACTTTTACTTGGCTCTACTTCCAAGCAGCAGTTTGTGATGAAAAGCACGAATAAAAGGAGGGGAACCTGTTTCCAAGCACAGGAAATAAACAATGTCTATATGCAAAACAAAGAAGAAGTATTACAAACACACACATGCTAACATACACTTGGCAGAAGGAAGCTATGTTGTTGTTTTTAAACCTCTCTTCATGTTTAATCAAAAAAGCTATTTCTGTGATTAAGAGCCAAATATACTGCAACTGTATTCTCTATTCAAAACCATTTCCAAAGTGGAAGATAAAACCAAGTTTGTTATTATGAGTTAATTATATCATTAAGAACATTTGTCCAAGGTTTTTGAGTGGCACTATTTTTGGTGGTAGCTGAAGTGGCTGCAGGAACAGATATATTCAAAGTACAAAAGAAAATAATGATTCCATTCCAAAAGCCACAGATGGCCCTTCATTAGGGGAATTGTGAGTGTTAAGAAAACAGAAGCTTTGAATAAATAAGGAGTGCTTTTGTTCCTGAAGTTCCAGTTTGAAGTTATATATTTGTGTGTGAGAGAGTGAGTGAGAGATACACACAGAGAGACCAGATGATGATTTGAATTTTGAACAAGCAGGAGGAAAAGAAGTATGCTGTGCTCATATTTTTTTCGGTGGTTTCAACATAAGGGTGGTATGCAAATAATGAATCCAACTGGTGCAAGGATTTCCACTTGCACAATGGGACTCCCTCCTCCCTTCCAACTTGCCCCCTCCCCAAAATGCTGCAAAGGTTATAGGACCCCAGGGGCATGTGGAGGAAAGGGGGGGGGAGTTCAATTGCGCAAGTGCACTGAAAATTAGCTATACTTTGGTTTTAAGAAATGGGGTACTATTCTGCTATATCATACTCACAGTCAGCTAATTTAAGTCCATTGATTTCACCGGACCTATTCCGAATATGCCTTAGTCTGTTGCAAGTCTATATGTGCTTGTTCTTGCAGAAGTGCCACACGAGCTTCTTCACTATGACAGACCTAGGAGTGAAGAACCATCTTGCACCATTACACTTGGATTTGAGTTCTGCTCCCTCCCCGGCACATCCCATTCTGCAGCAACTTTTTCAAAAATGACTAATAACAGTCAGTGCCATAGGAGCCACTCCTAGGGGCCAAGGGGTCTTCGCCTCCCCCAATAAAATATTTTAGGGGTCTGTTCCCCCCAAGTTGGTGGCCATTGCCATTCAAATAGTGTGTGTGCACCGCATCATGTGATTGATTATGCAGGGCAGGGCCTACCTCTCTCTCACAGACAATATTTTATTCATGTTGGCAGCCTAGTCAGTGCTGGCATTGCTGGAGGACCATTGCAAGAAAGTGTAAAGAAATGAGGACCAATCTGACCAGATATATACTACTGATCCTTTTGCTGCCCCCTTGTGATGGAAAGCGCTTCTCTGACCATGCAATAATAAAGCTGCAATCCTGCACTCACTTCCCTAAGGGGCTTAATGCTTCTGACCAAGCCTCCATAATGGATGGCTGACAGAATAGAGTATGCAATTTTGTAAACGTGTCTGCTCACTGTCGATCCTCAGGTATCATAATAATCTTGTGGCACCTTAAGGAGGGACAAATTCACTGGTATCTAATAAAGTGGACTCTGAGCCTCAAAAGCTTAAGCTTGTTATAAGGTGCCACAAAGCTGTTGTTTTTGGTGCAACAAACTAGTAGGACCACTGCTCTGAAAATCATAAAATATGTTGCTTTCCTCAGGCAAATATTGCTGCTTTCTTTGATGTGGAAATCACTTCCTTCAGCTTGAGGTCTTAATCAATAGCAAATGCCATCCCTTCTGAAAACATTTCACCCTTCTCTTATCTTATAGTGCATCCATACTTTTGAAATTATGAACTCTTCAGGTTTAGAACGTTTAATCTTATAAAGTATAGAGTGCTTAATCTTCTGAAGTACCTTAGCTTTAAAAACCTTTTAGGCCACATGTCTACTCCTAAGTAAGCTCCACTGGGTTCAATCCTATACTGGGTTGGTCCCAGGTAAGTACGTATAGAATTGCAGCCCAAATGTATCTTAATAGTGTTAAGATTGTTTGAGGTAAAATTAGCATTTTTAATTGTCTTCTTAGCCCCTAGGG